TCGAACAGCTTTTGCCCATGAGCTAGCAACGTTTTTCCGAGCAAAACACTTTACAAGGAATGTGACCAGATGGAACTTTCCTCCGCCTCAGAGATTTTTTAAAATAAGCTTGCCAATGATAAGTTAGAATTCGCGTTTTAATACCGATGCTGGACAGGAATCTCTTTCAGCTCTGGACCATAACTGGGGGACGTTTTCCGAAGGATAAATGCGTAATCTTATTTCATAGATAATACTCCTGGGAACAAAATATAATTTTACTGTGTGATTTGCACAGCATTTCATTCTTATTTAGGTTTTTTGTTCGATAAAGCGAAGATAATAGTCAGGTATCTGGATTGTGAGTAGATTAACTGCCTCAGTGAGATGCGAACCCACACGTAGAAGCCGCCTACACTTTTCCATATTGCACACTCTGCCAATCGAGTCATAAGGAAACACCGAAAAAACTGATCTTTTTTGGGCATTTGTCAAATCACAGAGACATATTGAATTCACCAGTTACCTTGTAAGCAGTTTGTTTTACCAGATTTTCCTTAGACGATACCGAAATCCATGAAATAAGTTTCGAGGATGTGTTGCTTATTGAAAGGACATTATTCGATGGAGACAACAGTCTAATACTTAGGTTGTGAAAAAACAATGGCTTCAGTATCCAACCCAGGATTAGTTTCCATTTCGAGCTCCAATAATGTAGGTGGCTAACGACGCATTTTTATTTACTGGGAAAGACAGTTATAATCTGATACGAGAAGCACAATTTCGAATTACCTTTTTGGAAGACTTTTGTGAAATCTGAAACCGATTCGTTGTGCATAACAGCAAGGAAACCGGAACAGCAAATGAATTCAACCTTGTACGGTCGTTGGTTGGACCTCATTAAGTATGCACTGGTGGTGGCCAAAGGGTTAGGTCACCAACTTGTGACCTGTGAGTCCCGAGTTCGAACCGCTCCACCGCCGCCCGTCTTCCCAGGCAGCCTTTGTATGGCGGCGGCCCCCTTCCTGAATTTTGACTGTATATTGGAAAAAAGGAAGTGAAAAGGTATTATTATTAGAAATATAACTGAATAACTGACGGTTTGATTAGTTGTCGATATTTCGTGGTTGATCCCAAACCTCCGTTTAGACGTTGATGTATGCACACTGCCATCGATATGCGCTTTGTTTTTAATAAATGTAAACTGCTTTTGGTGTTCTATTTGACAGATGCTTTGTTTTGTGTATGCCGAATTTCATTCTAACGCCATTCTGTACAGAATTAGGTAGGGCACAAAAGGGGTGGTTTACAAACGATTCAAAGATTTTATTTGTGTACGTGAGTACGTGAGTACGTGAGTACATTTCATAGAACAGAACAGATTTATCTAGTTTTGCTGTTATTTGTTTTACCACATATTTAAAAATAATTTTGGTATCAAGTTTCTTCCTCCTTATCGTTCCAACAAGTTTCTTTAATAAAAATTCACAGCGTACACTGGTGAAACGAAACCTTAATTCGTGAAATGGATTGTAAAAGTCTTCATTTTGAAGGCGAATGTTATTCGTTATTTGTTCGTTTTGTATAACATCCGGGATTTCCACATTCAATAGTTTACGTTATTACATTCAGACGTCAAATTTTTCAACTTTCATTATGATTATTTTTTAATCCTGGTAACCTACTTAAAATGATGCACCCAGAAATTTCTCACTCCCCGATGGAAAACTGAACCGATTAGTCATAAGCCACAAGGTCACAGTTTCCGTGCCAATGTCAACATGAAGTTCATAATTGGTTTTGATGACATTCATGATTTCGATCAATGCTACTTCCCGACGTGAAACTTGTAAAAATATCCCTTATAGTAAACGCGAAAACAGTTATAAATAACAACAGAAACAAAGAAACGCTGTTTATTGTCAGACGTCATGCTAACCTAATCAGGTTACTCACGGACAAGTTGTGCACACAGTCACCCTGAATAACAGTATGAGTAAACACGACCGACGGATTATCGTTTTCTATTTATGACGGACCTTTTACCCCCACTCATGGTGAAGGGAATTTCTAGCTCGATTTCTTAAAGAACGACTCCATGGAAAGCTGAGGATTCGGTGATCTGGTTGCATCATCCGAATTCGCCGTTTTTCCGGCGGATTTTTCCAAATGTTGAAATTTTTCACACAAGTTCACTTTTATTCAGGCCTGGCTCTAAGCTTTGACTATCACGAAGCAAGCGAATAGGTAATTTTTCCTCATGTCCTCCCCCCCCCCACTCACCTAAACGTCCCTAATTCTAATAGTATTGCTGTAGTTCTGGTATCATGCTTACTCACAAGTCGGATTTACATATATATGAATAGTAGGCCTTAGAAATCTGTTTAACTTGGATCCATAAATCGCTACTAATGTTTTACAAGTTGCCGTCTATCTTCCTTTTAGTAGTACTTTTGTTTTCAGTATGATGGAATAATAACATAACAATTTCATTTAGAGAGAACTGTGTTCTACTGAGAAGCTGACAAGGATGGATAACTACAGTCAAAACATTGCAGTTCTTTATGTTCTCGATATAAGATTTGGTTATTTAAGCAACGGAACCATGAATTGTTTTTCTTTTCAATAAGCACAGATATATTTATATATCATGGACGGAATACTCGAACAAACAGAAAAAAATAACATGTCGAAAGTTTTATGGTTATCTCGAAATTGGATTTTCTGTCAGAGCAGTTTTGTAAAAATATCGGTTTCCGGTTAAATAAAGAGAGCAACCTATTTTTGTTTCAACGAGTTATCTGTAAGAAAGATACTTGGGCACATCTGGTGCCTAAACTAAAAGCAGACGTCAGTGCAAGTTGGTAGTCAGAAGATAAAGCAGTGAATCGTTTAAGAACGGAGTTTCCACGACGAGGTAATCCGAAGTAAGTGAAACATAATGTCCGAGAAAATGTTCACGATAAAACTAGATGAATAAGGCGGTGGTTAGAACTCACTTTATGATTATCTGTAACCAACTATACATGGATGGATGGACTCTGAGATATAATAAAATTCCCGGTGTGCCAAAACGCCACAGCGAGAGAGACTCTGTTACTTTTAAAAGAGTTTCAAGGGATCCTTTATAACTTTTGGTATTCACCTGGTAAATTCACTGAAATCAACCTTGCTTGTCACTGTGATATTTCTCAAATGAGCATATACGACAGCTTCGCTGAATCATTTGGTCTAGTAACCACAAATTAGTCACCTAAATCAGGTTTCCTAAGAAACGTTTCTGGCTTTTGCATCAGCAACCTATCATTACCCTACACCCCTTTGTCAAGAAAAATCGTAGACTGACATGTTTGTTACAGGGATTGCTGTCTGCCACACAGTCCTAACAGCTGTGAAATAGTTTATTATTATGCAAACCGTTAGGCACTTAACAATCATGCCAATAGTAACAAAGTCATTGGGGATAAGAAAGTTCATATTGTTACCACATAGTTTACAGACAACTATCAGAGGGTAGAAATTAATGAAAATCTGACATGTAGAGAAACGAGATAGATGTAGTGGTATTCGAATTTCCCAGCTTCATAACTCCAATCCTTTACCGCCACCACTCAGTATTGATCGCCTGATTTGTACACATAAGTCGCCTAATCATAACCTTACTTCTTAACAAGTCCGAAGAATAACTGCGAACGATGGTGCATTTGTAGTCCGTGACCAACTTAACGTTTTTATCCGTGGGATTCATTATCCACTCCTGTGTAACTCTGGGCAATACTGTAACAATTTCCAGTCTGCAAACTGACCGATAATATAAGATTGACAAACCAGCACGATCCCTTGGAAAGAACAAGTCACTCACAATATTACATACCATTCAATTTATAGAATACATCCATGAGTGACGTTCAGGACACGGGATGCAGACGAAAGTATTTGTTGATGATTCTGTCCTCCAAGTCATTATCAACGCCTTTGTTCGGCCATATATTGACACAGTGGAAAATCGGGGCAGATACGGCTTNAATCTCTAAAATCAATTAAACAGCTTGCATTGTAATTTTGATTATGCTTATGTTGTTGGTATGCAATGGTACTTTGTGTTTTAATAATGAGATGAACTGATAGCTCGTGATATACATCCGAATGTCACCCTGGAACTTAATCGTAAAAGCCTTGGACGAATAACCTTAGTTACTCGCAACCTATGTTTGCATTACTGAGCGGGACTCTACATAACACTCTAATTGTGGTTCCCACAACAAACAAATTGCCCGAGATTATTTGGTGTGCAGCAAGTATTGTTTGAGATGAATAATTATCCACCAGATACTTAATCAACGGCATTTTGAACCACCAACGCATTTGGTCTGGTAAATCATGAGTGAAAACAGTGAAGCGTTTGTTTTTGTGTTTGCACATAATTATCATAATTGGGTTTTACTTTAGGCGGTCGAAGTTGAAGGCCAATGTAATGAACACATTTTTTTAGGCCTTGGTTAGTTTCTTAAATGAAAATCTTCGTATTATGGACGCCGGTGGGATAGGGTCTCATTAAGTTCAGTTCGGTTATTTTTCTGCTGTTGCCTTGTGTCTCCCGTCCCGGTAAACAAGTTTTTCCGAGGGATTCTCACGGATTTACATTTACACAATTTCATGACAAATTTTACCAAACTCTGAACAAAGAATCACCTACAAATGTATTTCGGATGATGGGTTGAATAGTCAAAAGATATGCATGTAATTCATAATGGCTTATAATAGTCACATGTGTGCAGCCCTTAAGGAATCATGACCAGATAGTTTTACCTGATAAGGTAACAAGCTGCGAAATCTTCTACTAATTTCTACTGAATTTTACTTAACCATCATCTTCGCACATAAAGGGAAAATCGTTGGCCAAATGATGTTTTGTAGAATGATTATTCAGAATCAATACCACTTTTCCTACGTCACTACTAACAAATGATTTTGGATTGAAAATGTGAACTTGGTTTTTCTGTTCTCTTGTTTTTTTCCAGTCAGAACGTCAAACTCGGTCGTTCGAAAGCAGCCTGTTGACTCAGTTCCGAGTGTTGTTCGTGCGTAGTCTATTCTCCATTGTCCGGGATACGGTAAGCCATCATGTACCTGTGCCAGCTGGTACCACCCTATGGACTGTTGATGCATGCCAAAACAACGCCAATCAAATACATTTTACCTCTTCCACAAAATTGAGTGAAGATAGAATAGAAGCTCGCGGCAATACCTGCTTTTTCCAACTCATAAACATCTATAGTTTTTGTGGCATAACGGTTGAAAACTTTTTGTAATAATACGATCGTTGTTCATTGTTTTCGGTCAGAAATGTGTGATGTCGACACACACAGGTGAATTCCAAAAGCGGTTTAGCACCCTGTTTCGTTTTACCTTTATCTGCCTCGTCCACGTGTGAGCGCGAATTCGCACCGATCACAGTTTGTATATATATCGCATTTTCTTGGCCTCACTGTTTTGAAGTTCGACGATTCCCTTACTGGTGGCGTACCTATAAAATGAGTAAATCGCTTATAAATCTCACTGAACAACCAGTTGGTAGTTGTTGGAACCCGTCAACGGTTTGAGCTCCGAATCCGGAGTTTTATGGGTCTGGTCCCGTCAAAGAGGTATCGCTACAAAACCACAACCAGGGGAAAAATAAGTCTCCGGTGCTCTTTGTCGGCCATCTCACAAAGGGTCACTAGCAGTACTCATTTCGTTTTGTTTTCAAAATCAACTTTTCAGAAAGAGCGACGATCATGGTATCCGAAAATGTTCCTTTACTACGCCCTTCGTGTTCGACTTTGGTGGTGATCGCTGTGTAATGATATGTCAATTATTCACGGATCATACTTGGTTAGCCTTGAAACACACGCTCCCCAACTGGGGACTACTTCACGAGAACGCACATCCACCAGTAGTTATAAAAACTGACCGCGGCCATCTGATTGATTGCACATGACTTTGAAAATGTATCTTATTCGCATTTTCTGACAATAACTTTCTGAGAACAACCTATTAACGCTGTGCGCATATAAAGTTACTCATTCCGTATCATGGGGTGTTTTGCCAATCTTCGTTACTCTGAATGGACGTGAGAAGACGGAACCGGAGACTACGAGCAAACAGTCATGCGTTTCGCAACCAGTGCGTAAGAATGTGCGTCATTCCGGTTGTCTCTGGTCGGCTGTCTATCATCTGGTACAGGCCATGTAAACAATGGCTTTCCGGGATTGAGCCCTGTGTGCGCGAACTGTGCCCTGACCCCGATATGATTGCAATCAATAAGTTTGACATTTGCACAGTACCCACCAAGACAAAGAGGTCTGTGTCTTATGCATCTATTTCATCCCTCCCCTTTCTTCTCGATACACCATTGCATATATATATATTACTACCGCACAGTACACAGCAGAGGGAGGAGGAGCAAACATTGCGATGTCAAAATCATCGATGCTGATGATTTACAGTATGAATGTGCAACACCACCACACTTCAAATGGTTTTCTTGCTTGCGTTTTAAGCTGGCTTAAATCAATTTCACCGATACGATCAGTGGCCCAATTTTATCGTATGTCTAGGCGTTTATCATGATGGCACTAATAAAACTTCTTGGACTTCGTAGGGTCTATTACCTTGCATTGAAATTTTCGATTGGAAATCTCATCCATACAAGAACTTTCCCTCAGGTGGAATCTCTGTTTGTTTGAATTGTTCAAATATGGTTGATAGTTATGTGACTGGTTGGATAGAACCACTTTTTCACCTGCTCCGAAATCGTGAAGCTCGTTTTCCAATGTTGGTGTGTGTTCCAATTTAAAACACAATGTATCAAAACTTAGGGAGATACTTTGACGCACTTCTGCAATTTGTGATTCAGCAGTTCGTCTATTCACAAACTTCCAATTCCAGTTGTTCTGCCGTTTTCTGTGAATCGACTGTGCTGAAGGCCCAAGTAGATTTAGTTTTGTCAGAAAACTATTCAATTAGAGCCAAATCACAAGAAGACCATCAATCACACAAACTGAACTCTTGACCGAATGTCTTTTCTCACTCACAGTTTCCTGTGGCGAATCAAAGTTGACGTTTCAAACTCTAACTAGGTTGATTAGCAGTCAGTCAAAAGCGATGGCGAAACAATATACGCTGGGGGAAAATCGGCCCGTTTTCTATACACAATTACGCACACTTACCGCAACACTCGAATGACGAGAAAAAAACCGGGCCTGAATGATAAGGTGTTCGTGTAGACATCTTAAAATTCGTTCATGATGTATCACACAGCAATCATTCTAATAGCAATCACATGTCCTTAAGGGGATCTTTTTGAACAATAGGCAAGCTTATGTGAAAAAATATAACACAATTAAGAGGTGGCACTCTGAATTAATAGCACTATTGTTCAGAACAAAATTATTTGAAAGTTTTCGTAAATATTTGTCATCGAATTGTGACGATAAAATTCAAAGCTAACTTTTGGTCTCCTTTTGGAATCCAGGTAAATTTGAATCAATAAAGGAGTCACCCATGCAGCATCTGTTATTCCCGTTTCAAATACTCACCTTACACGAATTCCCGATAAAGATGAATACACAAACATAAACAATAGGCTAGAAAACTGCAGAATAATGAATGAAGTTTGAAACTTGCCACAACACTGTGTGAATTAGACTACATGTGTTTTCATGCAGCCATCGGGTAGTGTGATCAGCATAAAAAAGTGGTACACTTGTAGCGCAGAACATTCATTCTACTTTGGAATCCCGACATAGCACATCTGAATATTCCATTTCCTTTTCTAGTGCGTGCTGTTTCATCCTGAGTTCCTTTGGGACCTACACGCACAAACTCATTTCCTCCTTGGTCAAAGTAATCACATAACTCCTTTATCGGTCCTAGAATTGTGTGCTACCAAATCAAGCTAGGGTAGAAATAGGCTGACAGCAGCAGATCCACGCATACTGTTCGGCGATATCTAATGTTTTCCCAACAAACCCATTGTAAATGTGTTGGTATCACAGCGACAGGCGGAGTATGTTGTTCACGACATCTGCATGGTATCTGTGACGGTTGGTAAAACCAAATTTCCACTCATACTGGCAACTGTGTTATTCACCTGTATGTAGTTTTTATGAGTATAAATTATAGGATTCATTTACTTATTGACAAAGATTGTTCTTGCATTCGGGTCACGTCCATCGTCTTACATCCTCAGAATCGTTGACTGTACAGGTTCCTGTCTCGGACAATATCACACTCCTAATGGATCGAAACACATGCATTCCGTGATGAGGTATTGTCTATAAACAAGCATATTGACGTTCTCTTTCTGAGATTGCTCCCACGTGCATGATTATCGAGCGCTTCAATGATTGTACTGATGGCAAGTCCGATCAACAAAGGAAAGGCTATTAGGTGAAACTTGAATTTGTACATTTGAATAACATGGGACTTTATGAATTTCCATAGCCGCGCTGAGCTGAAACGACTAAATTCATGCTCGTCGCGATAGGTATTCAGTCGGACATTTCATCGTTCTGACCCAGAATAAAGAGTCTGTGAGTTCACAGAAAATAGAGTGCTTAGTCGATTTTTGCGGGATGTGCTTTACACAATCCCAGTGCAAAGTGCTTATTCAAGACTGCCAGGAGACTGTGTCTGCCGTCACCCTAAGCTTGATCGCTGCTTCTTTTGGTTGTTGAACAGGAGAGCACGTCACGAATAACGAAAGCTAGAGCAGCTTTTGCCAATCTAAGACACCTGTGGGTCCGCCGAGATATCCGACTGTCCTTTAAGGGAAGGGTATACACAACCGCGGTTTGAAGTGCTTTGCTTTACACTAACCGGACCTGGCCCCTCCGCGTTTAGGATGTCTCCGAAGCACTGCTCCTATCTGGTGGGAACATCGGGCGAGCAATGACGAGGTTCGTCGTCGTGAGTTGGGTGTGGATAGTCACTCGCTAACAGAAGCAAATGCTCTACAACACCAGGCATGGCTTGGTCACATTTTGCGTATATCCGTCTGTCGTCCACCATTCCGTGCCCTCTTTGCACAAACAAAAATGTTATTCTTGTTACCCACCATATCTGGTTGACCGTCATTTCCCTGTTTTGTACCCAAACTTCTTCGCTCTGCGTTGTCCTCGTTATTTTGCTGGTATCATGCTTATTCGTATGCCGGTGTTAAATATATAATATATATCAGCGGATTTCAAAGAACTTCAGAGGAAAGGTTTAAAACGCATCCCTAAGATAGCTGAAAAGTATTATTCAGCTGTATTCTGAGTTTACGTACTAACATACAACTTCATACTAGCGTTTAGAAGCACCTATATATCAAATGAACCAGCTTGTTTCCCTTGAATCTACATCGTTTTAGTAATTCCTCGACCTTTTTTAAATAAACTGC